ATTGGCTTTACAATGCTCTCTGTCTGATAACAAGACTAGTCACATCACTCCACTATTATCAGTGGGGCGTCACCTGAAGTTTAATTCACGTGTGGACCTGCAAATGGACTTTGGTCTTCCACTGTCATCCATAGTCTCTGCAAACCAGCTGTTCACAACTTAAGCTCTGATACCATTTCTTCCTTTGGATTTTGATTTTATTTTTTACAATCCTTGGGTCACACAGACTGGTGTGCTTCTTCCATGTGGACTTAGTTGACACCTCACTTAGATGGCTCCTTGTTTAAAGACAAGCCTTTAAGACCCCGGACACTATTCTTTCTGACAGCCAGGCACCATCTAGTTTCTTCACTGCACTTTGCTGTAGCACCCATATCTTCAGTGACTTCTTCATGAGGTCAAGCATCAAACAGGGCCATGTCATAGGAACTAATTGTTTTTAGATTGGGCCTGGAATTAAGTGCAAGCTCCCAAATAAACTGAGATATCATATATACTCAAATATAAGCCAATCTGAATATCAGCCGAGGCACCTGATTTTACTATCAAAACTGCATTAAAAATGTGCTGTAAAACTCAGCTTATACACAAGTACATATGGTATATATATTTCACTTTAGAAGCATCATTGTCATTTTATGTTAGAGAACATTATCAGTCATCCTCCTGGGGCACCATTTCCACTACCATTGAGTCAATACTGACTAATAGCGACCTTATAGGACAGAGTAGGACCACCCCCGTGAGTCTTTGAGATTGCCAATCTTTCAGGAGTAGAAAGCCTCATTCTTCCTCTTCAGAGCTAGCTGGTGGTTTTGAACTGCTGACCTTGAGATTAGTGGGCAAATGTATAACCACGGTGCACTGATAGAATTATTTGTGTAACCAGAAACATTAAGTCTTAAAAGGGATAAAGGTGGCACAAAGACACAGACACATGATCTGGATGAGGTCGACCATTAGAAGGAGAGCAGAATGTCATCCAAGGAGTTACAGTCAGGACGCATGGGACAAGTCAAGGTATCATTGGTGGCAGATCCATACATCACAGTGACAGGGCTACAGAAGTGGGAACAGGGTCACGATTGGGACATGTACATTACATTAGATAGAGAAGTTTACAAGATTGGCCCGGGAAAGGGTCTTCTAACCAAGGGAGTCAGCACATGACCAATAGATCATGACCCATGATAATACGACCCCATTTATTGTCCACCCCTACACCCCACCAAACCAAACAACAACAACTAACACCACCCATTAAGGTCACACCCAGGCAAACCCTGAAAAGAGAATGGCCCTCCCTGGGCTGACTGGAGAGGGGGGGAGGTCATCCATTTTCCAGTGCATTCTACCAGAGGGCCAGATTATCCACATCCTTGGCTAATGATCAGAAGGTATTCAGTGTAGGCTTAGTCCTCATGGGGACTCTGCAAATGAGTTTTTGGGTTTTCCTTGTCAATGAGCTTTGGGCTTTTCCTGGCCTTCTGCAAATGGAGAGATCAGAATTCAAGCTCTAATACACCTCTTTTCCTGATGATCTACGGTCGGTTAATGAAAGTGGAGGAAGATGCTGATAGGATTATATGACTTAGTTTGAAAGTGACTGTTAACAATGGTTGTTAATATTGTGATTGTAAACCATGAATGCCAAACATGTTTTGGCATCCTGCCGGGCTAAACTGAGTCACTCAGAAGGAATGGGGAATTTTGCTACCGTCATAAAAGATGAGCCAGGCGTGGAGCAAAACTTTTGGACTCTGAGATTCTTTTTTTTTTTTTTTAAACATTTTATTAGGGGCTCATACAACTGTTATCGCAATCCATACACACATCAATTGTGTAAAGCGCATTTGTACATCATTCTCAAAACATTTTCTCTCCACTTAAACTCCCGACATTAGGTCCTTATTTTTCCCCTCCCCGCTCCGCCTTCCCTCATGAGCCCTTGATAGTTTATAAATTGGTATTTTGTCATATCTTGCCCTGTCCAACGTCTCCCTTCACCCACTTTTCGGTTGTCTGTCCCCCAGGGAGGAGGTCACATATAGTTCCTTGTAATCGGTTCCCTCTTTCCTACCCATTCTCCCTTTACCCTCCCTGTTTCGCCACTCACATCACTGGTCCTGTAGGGCTCATCCGCCCTGGATTCCCTGTATTTTCAGTTCCTATCTGTACCAGTGTACATCCTCTGGTCTAGCCAGACTTGCAAGGTCGAATTCGAGTCATGGTAGTGGGAGCGGGGAGGAAACATTTAGGAACGAGTGGACTCCGAGATTCTTGAACAGTAAATTTAGCCTTTGCTCTAGGAGACAGAAAGTTGTGATGCCAGAGGGGTGGCGTACCTGTGAGTATGTATGGCCAGTGAGTTCTGCACACAGACCACTGCAGTGAGTTATGGAATCCAGCGGTAGAGAGTGCTGTAGGCGGGGCGTCTAGGCCGGCTGTCAGAATTAGTAAGAACGGCCGGCTGTCAGAATTAGTAAGAACGTTGGAAGGTGGAGGTGGGTTTTCCCTTTCCCGTGTAAGAGTCCTGGTGGTGTAGTGGTTATGCATCGCGCTGGCTGGCTGTTGGAACCCACCAGACACTCTGTGGAAGGAAGACGGGCTTTCTACTCCCATAAAGAGCTAGAGCCTGGGAAACTCAGAGCAGTTCTCCCCTGTCCTATGGGGTCACTATATGTTGTCACCCACTGGGTGGCAGTGTTGAAGCTGACTTGACATCAGGAATGCCATTTTAAGAATGTTTAAACTCCTCCTGCCTATGTTCTTGGAATGTACTGTGTGACCAGAATGTCCTTCACAATCTCTACTGTTCCCAGATGTGCCCCACTCAGTGTCTGTTAACTAACGCTGGTTTTGGCTTCATTAACTCGCTTGCACAGCTGTGTAGGAAAAACCTGGACCTACCACTTAGCCAGACTGTGGTTTTTACCTTTATAAGCTGACCCCTTGCAACAGTGAGGGGCTGCTGGGGTTTGAGAGACATTTGGTCCTCCGGCAAGCAGCCTAGCTAATAAAGACTCCAAATTGGAACTTTGGGGGTTGTAGTGGCCACTCAACATGTTAGCTTCCAGCAGCAGAACGTCTGGTCTTTTGGTTTGTAGGAATCACCTGGGACTGAGGTTGAATTGAATTTCTCTCTACGTCTCATGAAGTCAGAGGCAGTCAGACACTGAACTCAAGCCATTATTAATAGATTATCTTATGTGTATACAGGAGCCCTGCTGGCATGGTGATTATGCGTTCGGCTGCTAACTGCAAGGTCAGCTGTTCAAAACCACCAGTCTTTCTGCAAGAGAAAGAGAAGGCTTCCTACTTCTGGAAAGAGTTACACAGTCTTGAAGACCCACGGGCAGGCCTGTCCAGCCCTGTAGGATCACTATGAGTTGGAATCAACTTGCAGTCTGTGAGTTTGGTTTGGCTTTTTTCTCATGTGTGTAGGAGTCCTGGTGGTGTAGAGGTTATGCACTGGGCTGAAACCATCGTTTGAAACCACCAGCCACCCCGAGAGAGAAAGAGGAGGCTTTCTATTCCCATGAAGAGTGAGGATGGCCCGGAACCGGCCGTATTTCATTGCATTATACCTGCGGTCGCCATGAATTGACTGACTCCTCAACACTGAACAACAACAGAGTGAGAAGGAGGATGCTGTCTTTTCCCCTATAGAGTTATACTTTCTGGAAACCAGCAGGGCAATTCCTGGCCTATGGGGTCGCTATCCAGTTGATGACAGTGAGTTTGAGGGTGATTTCCCCCCCCTTCTTATGCTTATCATCAGGTAACAAAATCCTCAATCTGTCTCCTCCAGCACCAAGCCTAATGCTTTGTAATCAGGATTGATTATATCATGATCCAGAGCAGGCGTCCTCAAACTGCGGCCCGCGGGCCACATGCGGCCCGCTGAGGACATTTATCCCGCCCGCCGGGTGTTTCTGCCCCGTTTGTTTTTTTACTTCAAAATAAGATATGTGCAGCGTGCATAGGAATTTGTTCATAGTTTTTTTTTAAACTATAGTCCGGCCCTCCAACGGGTCTGAGGGATAGGAAACTGGCCCCTTGTTTAAAGAGTT